TCCCCCCCCCCCCCCCCTTCAATGACTTCATACCCGCCCGCGGATCCCATGGCCTGCCTTTGTTTTTCTATAAAGCCGGGCCAAGGGAAAATTGCGGGGCACGCTGCCCACAAAATAAGAAAAATGCATTTTCTGAGAGATTGCTACAAATTAAGTGAGGGGGGGAAACCCTACGGTGCTCGGGAGCAGAAAGCACCGGGCAGCGGCGGCTGCAGGAAATATTTGTAGCTGGTTATAGAAGCATCACTCTGCTAACGGGACCCTTGCTGCTGCTGCTTATAAATAAGCAAATTGCCAACCAGAGAGGATGAATGTTAATCTCCGAGGCTGCGTGGAAACCCAAATAAAAAGTAGCTGTGGCCCCAGAAAGTCCACAATCTCAGCAGATGAGTGGGAGAAAGCTCCAGGCTGTCGCTGGTGGCTTCAAAGTATTTTCTCTGCAGCTGGTGCTGGGTTGTTCCACCTCCTGGCTAGGACTTGTCCTTACAGGCTCTAATATTCCAAAAATTGGAATAGCTCATCACCTCATGATGGGGATGGACACCACCTGCATACAACCAGGCTACAACCTCTTGTGGGGTTGCTGCAACTTGGCAGCCAAGGAGGAAGAGCAGGGTCAGTGTCTCCCATCCCACCTCAGCCTGTGCTTGAGGAAGAGCAGGGTTGGTGTCTCCCATCCCACTTCAGGGCTTTGCAATGGGTAGGAGCTTCCCCAGCCTGGCTGGTGAGCTGGAAGGTGTTCAAGCAGCAGGAACCTGGTTGTTGAGATGAGGAAGTTTAATATTACTCCTTAGCTGATGGACACACAGATTAATAGCTCATGTTATCTCTTGATGCTTCCCTGTGACTCTGCAACACAGAAAAATTGCCCAAAAATCTGCCCAATTATAGCGACAAGAATAATCGGGTTCATTCATTCACTGCTGTAGTTAAATTTCTAAAGAGGATTTAAATCAGAAAGCTGGAGGTTGCTTGCTCGAAGTGTCGCTCTCCAGGAACAGCCTTAGAAATTCAGCTGCCTGGGACGGATTCCCAGCCTGCAGCAAGTGGGGTTGGTTTGTTTGGGTTGGTTGGGTTGGGTTGGTTGGTTTGTTCCAAAAGTTAAAGCCTGTTTTGAGCCGCACGGGTGCATTTGCTGCTTTCATAAAGAGCCAGGTGACAGGGCTCGTGCCCGGTGCCATGGACACTTCACGTCCCATTTTAGGATGACACAGACATCAACATTGACTGCATGACCGAAGAGAAGCACCCCAACAAGAAGGTGTGCAACGTCAGCTACCCCTTCTTCCGAGCCAAGGCCAAGGTAAGGCTATTCCCTTCTGCCCAAGTGAGACATCACCCATGGGACGGGATCTCTCCATCCCCTGCACGGCCATGGGGCCACAACCATCCATCCTTGGGCTGGGCAGCTTTGAACAAGAGTTTTAAGGATAAGTATTTGGGTTCTTCCCTTTTTTCTGTCCGTTGCTGGTGTTTGAAAGGCACGTTAGGGAACCAGGGATGGTCAGGATGCTGCCTTGATGGTAGGAGGCCACCCAGCTCCTCCAAGTCAAAGAATTTGACTCCAGTCCTTTGGAGCAATTTAACGTTGGCTTCAAACCACTACTGGTGACTTCCCTGAGTTCCTTCCTCGCAGTACCCTTTTCTGAGAGATTTTCCTTGCTCCAAGCACCCAGGGTCCATCCAGACCCTCCTCTGAGCCTGCCCAAGCCCCCTCAGGCTGGTGGCTTCCTCCAGACCACAGCTCACAGCAGTTGCCAGCACTGGGCATAAGCTCAGGTCCAGCAAGCACCACGTTTTAAATAAAACCCTTTGGAAATGTTATGTGCAGCATTAAGGTAGGGAAGGGAAAGTGAGGAGATGCAAGACCTCGCTCCCCGGGGCCACTCTTTGTAGTCACCCTGTGAAATCCCACCTGCCCATCCTGTGCTCCCGTCGGAAAAGAGGCCAAGACAAGCAGGATCTGAAGAGAAAAATCCTTCCAACCGCCATATCCGTCTGAAGCCTTTCCTTGTCAGAAGCTTGAAAAATGACAGACGAGCTCCAGGCACCTCGCTAGGCTTTAAAGCTCCCAAAAAAGCCCTCTGAGATGCCTGTGGCTGTACACGAGAGTGCAGCAGCCCGGCTCCCCATGACCTACGGGGGCTGAGAATGCATCTGCGTGGCATCAGGTAGTCCAGGTCCTGCCAAGACAAAGACAAGCTGGAAATGGAAATTTGGCCGGAGAGCAGCCAGGGGCTTTAATATTATACTCAGCTGTGCAGTCCCAGACAGTTTGAGGTCATTGCCACAGCTCTCGCAGATGTGACATTTATCACATTTTATTGTTGTTGGCCCCTCTCCGGCTGCCTGCCCCCGCCAGCCCACCCCGTGCTGCAGATGGAGCCAGTGGCCTCTCACTGCAGGTCCCCCCGAGGCTTTCTCTTCCAAAAAGGGGGGGAAAAAGGGGGGCTGCTCGCTTCCCCCAATCTCAGAGAAAAAAAAAATTAAAAATAACATTTTAAATAAGGAGAGCAAATCCTGCAAATCCCCAACGTGGGCTCTTCTCTCCCTGGAAAGCCCAGGGTCTGCCCAAAGCCTGGCAGCATCTCCCCATGGGGGCAGGGGGATGCTCTCACACACAAAGCCCCCACATCTCTCCTGGCCAACGCTCAGGGGTTTATTTTGTTGGGTTGTTGTTTTTTTTTTCCCCTAATGTTTTCTCCAATCTGTTTCCGACCTCCGCAGGTGGCTTTTCGCCTGGATTTTGAATTCAGCAAGTCGGTTTTCCTTCAGAGCATGGAGATCTACCTGATGGCCAACAGGTGAGTGGCTGCTTTCTCCCTTCCACGTCTTTGAGAGGTCAACGGGACGTTGCCCGCTCCCGTTGGGTTTCCTCCTTCCATTGCCTTGGGTGATGCTGGAGGCTTTAAGCAGGGATTAACCACACAGAAAACTGATTGCCCTGGGTCGTTGCAGAGCGTGCAGCCCCCTATCCACAAACCAGGCTGGTTTTATTTGTCTATATATTTGTATCCATCATTTTTTTTCTGTGTACGTGGAGGCTGTGCAGTCGCTGCCAGACTCTGTGCGGAGCAGAGAGGGGCTCTGGCCGTGGCTGTTTTCTCACCCACCTTCACAACTGCAAATACTCCCAGGAAAAATATCTCCTGACAGTTTTGCAATAATTTGCCGAGGATTCGCTGTGCCGGGGCTGCTGCTCTGCTTTAAGGCTGCTGGGTGGGAATCCTTTCTCCCAATGATCTACTTTTATGGCCTTGGGCTAATAAAGTTACAGGATAAAATTGCTTCTTTTTACGTTTTGGCTAAAAAACAAACGTTCAACCCTTTCCTGCCTGCTTCCCGTGACCCCCCCAAAAGAAATCAGAGGGGACCCAGCTCTCACCTCACCCCGTTGCTGTTTCAGTGACAGCGAGGAGAAGGAGAGCACCAAGGAGGACAACTTCGCCCACCTGAATTTCCACCTGAAGTACGAAGCCGACCTGCTCTTCACCAGGTGCGTGGTTCGGAAGGGGCTGCAACTCCTGGTGGGGAGACACATATCCTTTGGGAAAACCAGTGCTGGGCTCAGTAGCCCTGAGCTTTATTTTGGGGATTTATCTAGAAAAGAGGCTGAAGGAACCGTAAAACCAAGGGCATCCCGCTCGGTGGGTCCTTGTAAAAATCAACAGCGAGAAGCAACGAGCTGCTGGGCTTTCATAATGTTTAAATGCACAAGTGTTATTAAATAGGTGTGAGGGCAACTTTTTTTCAAGGGGAAAAAGTACTTATTGTAGGTAATAATGTTCATACCACGTGTCACGAGCCAGTGTCTGGGCTGGTAGCCATCCCACTAAAATTCCTCCCACCAGAAGCTCAGCTGAGGGATGTGCATGGAAGGGTTTGGGCATCGACAGTAAATAAAACAGAGAGAACATCCTCCGTCCAAGGAGAGCAGGGAGCTAAGGCACAGATGATAATTTATTAACCTGATTACAAGAAAAAAAACGTGGATCCCAGAAGCACATTCCCTGGCACCGCTTGCTGTAATTCTGAGCAGATTTTTGAGACCTTCAGTCATTTTATTTTTGTTACACTAGGGGCAGCGGGGCGCTGGAAATAAAACCGCTTTGATACTTACAATTTATGGGAATCAGGGGGATTCTCAATTTAACAAACATCAGAATCACCCTTATGGGGGAAGGGAGAACTTAGAGGAAAAGTAACAGCACAAAACATTCAGATTTGGGTACCTTGAGGGGAAATAATTTCAAAGGGGTTTGGGGCCACGTGCCCCATGTCATGACACGGGCGCTCCCAGCCAGGCTCCCCCGAGCACCCGTCACGTGCTCCTGGCTCCTTCCCTCCTTTCCAGCTGCAAAACAGGGATGTTTTATCCATTTTATCCCGAGATTTATCCGTGACATTCAAGCCACCGACCAGGGCCTTGGATGGCTCTGTTGTATTAAAAAGGCGAGAAAAGTTCTACAAAGAAAGGAAAAATACTGCAGAAGCAGAATAGGTGAAAATCCCCCCTCGTTTTTGCCCGAGGTGGAGCCAGGCAATGCTTTCCATCCGAGATGGGGCCAGGCAGACCTCAAGTCCTCTCCTTAAGGAACCTGCCCGTGGAGGGGCTGGGGCTGCTTTGAGCTTGGTTTGCTCTGAGCCCACCTCGTGACTTGTCACCCTTTGTCACCACAGGGCGTCGAGCCTGGACTACTATGAAATCAGGTCAAACAGCTCCCTGGAGAGATACGACAGCATCGGTCCCCCCTTTCACTGCACCTTCAAGGTGAGGAGGGGGCATCAAACCGGCTGAGGGACCCCCCCAAGCACTGTCCCGGGGGTGGGATGTGCCACCATCACCCTGCTGGTCCCCATCCCTTGGGACACATCTCTGTCCTCTGCTCTCGCAGCTGCAGAATCTGGGCTTCTTCCCCGTGGAAGGGGTGACCATCAAGCTCACGGTCCCCGTGGCCACCCGGGCGGGCAACCGGCTCCTGCTCCTGACCGAATTTGTAGTGGACCAGGTAGGAGGGGGTTTCATCCCCATTAAGCACGTGTGGGTTCCTTCTGCACCCAGGGGGACACCCCAGAGCGGGTCACCCCATCCTTTTGCAAACCCCCCTGTGCTCACACCTGCACAGACGCTCTTGGCCTGTGTCTGGTCTTCTCCCTTTTGCATTCCCTTGGCTGGAAACATGGAAAATGGCAGCAGCCAAAGCGTTTAGTCCAAATATTTCCCCGAGCTAGACCTCCCTCCAGTACGAAATGAATGTTTGAGGGTCTTGAAAGCATTAGCAGTGCCTGGGGTCAACTGCAGGCTTCAGTGCCCGTAGAGTGGGAGCAGACCCTGGGACATCCCAAGGCTCTTGCTGTCCCTGCAGCCCTGCAGGACTCTCGTGCCAGTGATGGAAAGAGCCCAGCACAGGAGACAGAAGGTTTATGGATGGATTTGGCCTCAGTTGGGGGTGTTTTGTAATGCCAGCACTGGCAGAGTCCCTGTGTCACCCCAGTGTGCGTAGAGGGGGCTCTCTGCCAGGCTGGGGAGAGGCTCTGCCCCCAGCACCAGCAAAGCCCAGGGGGTCCCCCCACTTCCACCAGGATGGGTGCTGAGCACGGGGCAGGACACGGGGTGGCAGCTGCCATGGTCCCTGTCCCCGTGCTTGGAGCACATCAGCTTCTCCCACAGGAGAACACGACCTGCAACATCTGGGGGAACACCACCGACTACCGGAGGACACCTGCCGAGGAGGACCTCTCCCGCACCCCCCACCTGGTAGGTGCCTTCATGGGCCTGATCCTGGCCCTGGGCTGAGCCAGGTAGCCACCAAACCAGGGAGAAAGCCCTCGGGATGGGGATGCCCCATGGCCACTCCACTGGGGTTTGGATCCCGGTCCCCTCGGTGTGAGACTGGGGGTTTTTGTCCCCTCCTCGGTGGAGATGCTCCCACAGCACAAACTTCTGCCCTTGCAGAACCACAGCAACTCCGACGTCGTTTCCATCGACTGCAATGTGAAATTAGCCCCCAACGAGGAGATGAACTTCCACTTGCGTGGCAACCTGTGGATGAAGTCTCTGAAAGCAGTAAGTCCTCCTAAAAGCAGGCTTTTGAGGAGAAATAACCCCAAGGAGCCCTCACACCAAGAAAACGTGGGTGGTGTTTTCCTCTCCCATGGTTGCCCTCCCTCACAGGCAGCCCTGGGGGGTGATTTTTCTTTTCAAATCTCACTTATTCTGTTGGTGTGTGCACCCAACATCCCAGGCAGCACCTTATTGTGGGGAATTTAAGGGTGAGCAGTTCTTTTTGCTGTAATTTAGCTGCACTCCCTATTTGTTCTGCACCGACCTCCCCCATGGACGTGGCACGCCGCATCCCCAGCAGGGAGGCAATGCTGGGGGGGCGGGGGGGGACAGGTAGCAAAGCCGTGGGGGGGACACCTTGCCGGGGTGCTGGGTCCTCTCCTGTGGCCACTGCTCACACCCAGCATCTCTTTGCACAGCTGAAGTTCAAGTCACTGAAGCTCACCTTGAACGCCGCTCTCCAGCGACGCTTCGGGAGCCCCTTCATCTTCCGCGAGGAGGACCCCAGTCGCCAGGTGAGCCCCCCGGGGCAGGGTGGTCACCCACGGACCTGTGGTCATCCCCAAAGGTGGGGATGCTGCAAAACCCTGCTCTGACCCCGTGGGTGCAGAAGGAACAACCTGCACCGGGCGCTCTGCAGAGCCCGGAGCAACTCAGTGCAGTTGTGGCTGGAGCCAGGAACCTCTGGTCCCAACACCACTGGATTCAGTAGTGAAAACCCAAGCCAAATGGCTGTTGCATGGGGTGGGCATCCTCCCCAGCAGCTCCAGCATCCTCCCAAAGGAGGGATGCTCAGCATCCCCACCATCGCCCTGTCCCCCCCCAGCTCCTGCCCCACCAGCTCTCACCCCCAGCAACAGCAGCAGATGTTGACGCTCTGAATTTTTTCACTGAATTTTTGGAGTTGGAAGGGACCATAGAGATCATCTAGTCCAACTCTTTCCTTGCAGATAACGTTTGAAATCTCCAAGCCGGAGGAGTCACAGATCCCCATCTGGATCATCCTGGGGAGCACGTTAGGAGGTCTCCTGCTGCTGGCCCTGCTCGTCCTCGCGCTCTGGAAGGTGAGGAGCCATTGAGCCACACACTTTTGGGGGCTTGGTGGAGAATCCTACGCGTGGAGACACCCCCTGACCCCCCCAGCTCCATGTCCACAGCCCCATCGGGCACCACAAAAAGTTCCTCTAACCTCTTTCCACTTCCATATTATTTATGGAAATAAAACTAGTGTGACCAGCAGAAGTAGGGAGGTGATTGTGCCCCTGTGCTCAGCACTGGTGAGGCCACACCTCGAGTGTTGTGTCCAGTTTTGGGCACCTCAATACAAGAGAGATCTGGAGGTGCTGGAGCGAGTGCAGAGGAGGGCAACGAAGCTGGTGAGGGGGCTGGAAAACAAATCGTATGAGGAGCAGCTGAGGGAGTTGGGACTGTTTAGTGTGAGGAAGAGGAGGCTGAGGGGAGACCTCATCACTCTCTACAACTTCATGAAAGGACACTGTAGAGAGGTTGGTGCTGGTCTCTTCTCACAGGTCATTAGTGACAGAACGAGAGGGAATGGCTTCAAGCTCCAACAGGGTAGGTTTAGATTGAACATTAGGAAGGAATTTTTCACCCAAAGAGTGGTCGGGCGTTGGAACAGGCTGCCCAGGGAGGGGGGGGAGGCCCCATCCCTGGCTGTGTTTAAGGGCCGGTTAAATGGGGGACTGAGGGACATGGTGTAGGGGAGGACTTTGTAGAGTAGGGTAGATGGTTGGACTCGATGGTCCCAAGGGTCTCTTCCAACCTCAATGATTCTATGATTCTATGATTCTATGATATTCAGGGTCTAAACCTCCCAGCAACATCCCCTTAAAAGAAAGACAGGTCCCAGCAACCAGCCGGAGTAACGGTTGGGTTTTCTTTTGTTTCTCTTTAATTCCTACAGCTTGGATTTTTTAAAAGCGGGAGCCGCAGGCGAGAGGCGGAGCGGGAGCGGAGCACCCAGGGGCTGGAGTGATGCTGCCGGGGGGCCACCGGGTCCCCCCCCCACCCCAAAACACACACACACACACCTCGTCCCCTTCCCAGCCCCTCGCCGGCCACGGGGCAGAGGTTCTCCTCCACGCCGAGGGATTTTGGGTGCTGAGCTCGGGTTTGCGTCGAGACGAGAGTGACACCCCTTTGTGTGAAACCACCTAAACAGGTCCAAAAGCCAAAAATGTAAAAATAAAAATAAAATACCCCTACACATAGCAGAAATCCCCACACCCCCCACCCCTACTCGTGGCCCCAAGGAGAGGAGCTTCAAACTGGGTTTGCAGGGAGGTGGCAGCGGGGACGGAGGGGTCACCAAAGCAACGTGCCCCGTAATTTGGGGCAAACTGCAGGGCTGCAAAAATCGTTAAAAAATAATATCCTTTAAAAAAAAAAAAAAAAGGCTAAGCTGTAGCAAACCCCCGGGCTTTGCTGGCCCCGGCTCTCAAACTGCGTTGCATTCGTTAACCAGAGCGATTGGGTGGAGATTTTAATTTGCCTCCTTCTTAATGCACTGAATACAAATGATAGCAAATCAAAGCACCTTAATGCAAATCTCCAGTGTCCAGCTGTACATACTTATTTTTAAAAGTATTTACCTGTTTAAGCAAAGGAGAAAAAAAAAATTGAAAAAAACCCCAAAAAAACAACTTTTTAAAAATAAATCAAAAACCAGTTGGAAGTGTTTTCTACAAACGAAGCAGTTTGGAAGAGCTTGTGTCCAGCAAGGGTCCACACGTGTATTATAATTGTACATACTTGGTGTCACGCGAAACCGGATGAGCGGTGCTGTTTGACAAAAATCTTTCTTTTTGCATAGCAGAATTATTTATGCTGATATTAATTTTATGGAAGAAAAGAAAGCATATGTCCGCCGGATGTGTAATGAAGTCTGTTAAATACTGTCCTAGTATTTTTTAAGGATTAAAAATACAGTATTTTAAAATAAAAAAATAATTGAGTAGCCTCTTCTATTTTCTTCTATTTTCTTCTATTCTTCTATTGCTCCCACAGCCCCAGAGGGACCAAGTTTTGCACATCTATTTTCCTTTCTCACTCTTCACACTCAACCAATTCTCCTTACTGTCAAAAACACACAGGCAGGACGCGTAAGGAGTACTGACGGCCTCTTTCCAAGCTTTTATTGCTAGGAAAAAAAAATTAATTAACTGCTTTTCAAGGCTTTAGAGAAGATCAGTGAGAGCTGGGCAGGCACCTTCAGCCGGGCATCCCCCCAGCTGCGGGTGGGGGGTGGTGGGTGCCCTCCCACTGCTTTTTGGCTCCAGAGCCACTTATAAGCACATATGCATATGTGTATATATTTTTTTTTAAATGTAATCTATATATATATATTTATTTATATGTCTGTGTGTGTGTATGTATACCCTCCAGCTTTGGGAAGACATGCTTATAGGCAAGATGGTGCCCCAGCCTCAAGGTGTGTGTGTGGAGGGGGTTCACACATATGTGTTTGTGTGTGAATGTGTATATAGGTATATCTGCATGTGTGATATATAGATAGATATATATATAGATATATATAAAAGGACGTGTTTATTTGAGAGAGCACCTCCAGCCTCCAGCTTTGGGATGCTCTGGTCACAGGGCACATTGTGAACCAGCTGGGATCAGTCTGTGTGTATATATATATATATATATATACACACATATGTGTGTGTATATGCTTATGATATATATATATATATATACATACATATATATGTGTGTGTATATGCTTATGTATAAGTGGATCTATATATGCTTATGCATATGTGGATACATATATGCTTATGCCTATGTGGATATATATGTTCTTATGTATGTATTCATCTATAAAAAAGCATCTGTATATGCATAGGTGTATATATATAAGTGTGCATGTATCTGTGGTTGTGCATTTACACACATATATATATTTTTTTATTTCTACTACACACATATATATATATTTTTTTTTTTATTTCTATACTGTCCTCACACACACCTGGGGGGCTGGTGGGTGACAGCCCCTCTGTGCCCTCGTGAGAAGCTGCACTTTCCACCTTAATGAGTCAAAACACTCCAGGGACACAATTCTTATTGTCCCCAGTAGCGTGGGGACTTGGGGGGACAGGGGACAGGAGCCCCACCATGGGCTAAAGCCGGCATTGAAGCATCAGCACTTCTGTGTCTGCAGGTTAAAAACATAAAGAGTTACTGAGAATTATATATATATATATATACACACATATGTGTGTGTATATGCTTATGAATAAGTGGATCTATATATGCTTATGCATATGTGGATACATATATGCTTATGCCTATGTGGATATATATGTTCTTATGTATGTATTCATCTATAAAAAAGCATCTGTATATGCATAGGTGTATATATATAAGTGTGCATGTATCTGTGGTTGTGCATTTACACACATATATATATTTTTTTATTTCTACACTGTCCTCACACACACCTGGGGGGCTGGTGGGTGACAGCCCCTCTGTGCCCTCGTGAGAAGCTGCACTTTCCACCTTAATGAGTCAAAACACTCCAGGGACACAATTCTCATTGTCCCCAGGAACGTGGGGACTTGGGGGGACAGGGGACAGGAGCCCCACCATGGGCTAAACCTGGCATCGAAGCATCAGCACTTCTGTGTCTGCAGGTTAAAAATGTAAAGAGTTACTGAGAATTTCCTTAAAGCTACTTCTATCACCAGCTTTTAGCAATTTATCTCAGAAAGGTGCAGGCACAGTTGAACTCAATGATCTTAAAGGGTTTTTTCCCCAACCTAAATGAGTCCATGATGCAAAGCAGCTGAGCTGCTCCACATGGTTACTTGGGGAGGGTGTGTGTCACAAATTCATGCTCACACCAGGGGAAGCCTCATTAAAATGAGGGTAAAACCCACCTCGTCTGACACCTGTTGACAAGAAGAGGCTCTCGTCATCTTCAGATAAATCTATTAATTAATTCTGCAGCTTGAATGGGGGCATAGATCCACCAAACACTGGTGTGAGGTGTGACCCTGGTCTCTGGGAGGACAGGAGCAAAGGGGGGACCACAGACAAGGTGGGGGGACAGGGCTCAGGGTTGGGGGGGGTCCCCAGAGAGTCCAGGCCAGGCTGGCACAGGACACCGTGCACAACCCCTGCCAGACACAAAACTAGAGTCCCATTGTTGGGGAAAATAAATAAATAAATAAAAGTGTCTTGTTTTCAGAAAACAGGGTGGTGGGTTTTTTTACTAAGCTTTTTTTAAGCTTTACTGAGGTTTTAGTACTAAGCTTTCCCCACTTGCTGATGCTGAAGCTCTGGAGTAGAGCTGGGCAATGTTTGCTTCCACAGGGATGCAGAAGCCTAGGGAATAAATTAGTGAAAAACTGAGATTATTGGGTTTTTTTTTTCCACCCAGCTGCACAATGGAGACGAGCACGGGGACTGCCTGCTGCGCATCCCTCTGGACAAAGGGCTCCAGACTCCCAGTTTGGTGTGGGCTTGCGTCCCTCTGAGCAAAAAGGTGTATTTTCCAAAGGCAGCCTGCTCCCCCCAGCAGCTCTCTGTGCTGAGCCAGCCCTATAAATACCAACCAGCCCACCTCCCACGGGCACAAACCCCTCATCCCGGGCAGAGGGGACACCACACAGCTCCTTTTTCCCAGCAGAAGGAGCCCCAGTGGGCTTTGTAAATTTTTTTTTTTTTTTATCAAGAGCTTTACATAACTCCCACAAAGAGAGCAGAGTGTTCCTTCTTTCTTTAACAAAGAAATTTCCAGACTAAGGAGAGGGAAGGTGCTGGGACGCCAAGAGCCGTGACGGACTCTGCTGCACCCAGGGGCGTGCAGAAACAGGCACCCACTAGTGGGGTTTTTTTTCCTATCCTTTGGCCAAGAGGTTTTACTGCCAGAGAGGAGGCAGCAGAAGACACAGGCGTGATGTGCTGGCACCTTCCTGGGCTGCAGACAAGCAGGAACCCGTCTTCATCAACGGGATGAAGACCAGGGACCACACCTGAGCCAGGAGCTGCTCCTTCCACAGCACGGACCTTCCCATTTCTCAATCTGCTGACGAGAAGTTTTACTGCTGCTTCTGGGGAACAGCATCCTCCCTCTCTCTCTACGTCTTCATGTATTGAAATCATCCCAGGAACAGCATAAAAAAAGCAGAACCTCAGCAAATATCTTGCTACGGGTAGTGGGGAAGGAGCAGAACGGAGCTAAAGGAAGGGAGGAAGCAGCAGCTTTTCCACAAGATCATTTAGTGGGGTTTTTTGGTTTTTTTTTTTTCTTATTAAAAAAGCAGACTGGTGGGAGGAGCAGCTTCCTTCACCTTGTTGTTACCTACAGATATTTCAAGCAGGCACACTCGTTCCAAGAATGGTTTCATACAGGTATTTCGCAAGAACGTAACGCTTAGATCACCCCGTGTCAGAAACAGGTCCTGAGAAAAAAAAAAAAAACAAAAACCAACCCAAAAACCAACAGTGCAAGGAAATATTGTCTTAAGGAACAATACAGCAACTCCAAGTGACTTCCAGTCCAGAACAGGTTGTTACACAGCAGGGAGTGAGCTGCTGCCAGGGTTCAGCCTCTTTCCCCCAAGTCAAAGACTCCAGCACCGCCAACTCTCAGTTTTATACACAAATTAACATCACAAATTATACAGGTGCAAGGGTAAAAATGACCAGCGAGACACCTGGGGTCTGTTTGACCCACATGGCACCAGTGGAACAATAGACATTTTTCCCAATAACAAACACACACTCTGATTGATGGACTCAGCTCCCAGCTGCTTTCCCAGCTCGATAATAATCACCCAGTGCCTGTGCTCAAGTTGTTTAAGTTTCGGGTTCAAAGCTTTAGGGGTTACAGACACAATCCCAAAAGATGAGACCGAGCACATGAAGCACATCCCCCTCTTCTCACGAGGAGCCCCAGTGACTGAAATGTAAGGGGTTTTTTTTTTTGCATTTCCAGAAACCAGGCTAAAAATCTGTAAACCACCAGCAAAACACAGAACTGCAGCTTTCCTGACAACTTCAGGAGGAAGACATTCAGGGTAAGGATTCCCAGGAACATCAACACCTTCCCAACCATCAGATGACATCCCCTCCTCCAGTAAGGCCCCAGGTGGCTGAATTTGGCTTTGCCATTGTGCCTGATGACAAGAGTCACGGGTGGTTTTTCAGCCCAACCCACCTGAGATACAAGTGACAGACACATTTTTGCATTTTAGGAGCTGGTTTCCAGCAGAGTAAAGTTTACAGCTGTGAAGACAGGGTATTTCTAAAGCTTTTCCCTTGCAGGAGGCACCAGAGCAATCCCAGCAGCGCTATTCTGCTGGGCACTAGACAAAAACTGAAGGAGCTGGTTTCCAGCAGAGTAAAGTTTACAGCTGTGAAGACAGGGTATTTCTAAAGCTTTTCCCTTGCAGGAGGCACCAGAGCAATCCCAGCAGTGCTATTCTGCTGGGCACCAGACAAAAACTGACAGCTGTGAAGACAGGGTATTTCTAAAGCTTTTCCCTTGCAGGAGGCACCAGAGCAATCCCAGCAGTGCTATTCTGCTGGGCACCAGACAAAAACTGAGTTACGAGCTAAATTCCACATTCAATGTTTATTTATTTGCAATACAAATAGAAACGTGTGCCCAAATCTCGCCTTAAAGTTCTACCCGGATTGTTTAAAAAAAAACCTACAGAACATTCTTTCATCATCTGACAGTTAAAAAGCTGCATTTAAAATAAACAGAGTTTTCAGTAGCCTGTCAAAACAAGTGACATTTTACTGCCGGAGTATCTGCAACTTCTACCAAGGAGAAGTACTTTCTCAAGCAACAGCGGTATTATACAATCAAGTTGCTTATCTTATGATAGGACAATTTTTTAAAAATCAGTTTCAATAGAGATTTTCATAATGAAAGGAGTAAAAATCACGGAAAAAAACCCCTCAAGTCCAATTCAGGGAGGCACAGA